AGCGGTGACCTCTCAGGGAACGGCTCCGGGCTCAAAGCGATCCCCAGCCCCTGAAATACTGGTAGTACTAGCGCAGAATTAGGAGACAGTCCCTAACACCACGTGATCGTCACTCCCCCGCCTCCGTCCCACTCAGGGCACGCAGCAGAGACGGCGCGCGCTCACCAAATCCGCACATGTCAGGGCGCACCAACTACCCAGCACGCACTGAGAAGCCTGAGTGGGGCGGGGCCTCCTCCCTGACCGTGAAAGTGGCCAGGAGCACCCATAGTACCCTTAGCAAAGATGGCGGAAGACAGCCCACCGGCTGGGCCAATCAGGAAGCAAGCTGGCCGTTGGGCCCCATGGGAAAGTGCATGCCGGAGCAGAGTAGCGGGTGGTTTCTGCGCACGTGCTCCGCCCACAGGCGGTTAGATGTTGCTGAAGCTGAAGTTTGGGTCTTTGAGCGATGGGCACGGAGGAGTGCGGCGTTAGGCATTTACTTCCTCTTTCTATGAACTGAACGTTACTTTATTCATTGGTTAATTTTCCTAACAGAGTATTGTAAACTAAGGTCAAGATGTCCTCCTCAGGGTTCTGGCTTTGGCCCTTGCGGCCTCGGGGCCCTCCTGCCCACGCCAGCCCTGCTCCTCCTCATACTCCCTCCTCTTTACCAGAGCAGCAACCCAGGCTGGGCCGCCCTCCCATGTTGTGTGCAGCCCAGGACTTGGTGTGCGTTTGCAGGACGTGGGATTGGGATAAATGCTGTGGGTTGCCTATGAGGTCCGTGCTCTCCAGCTCCTGGTCGCTGAGCGCCCCCATGGCCATCCCTGCTTGTCACCGTGGATGAAGGAGCCGACACTATTTGTGGCTGCTTCCAGCCCCTGGATCTGCCAGATGTTTGGCCCTCCTGCCCGGGCAGCCTCCCTGCCAGGCACTAGGAACCCACGGCGCCCACAGAAATGGGACTGCCAAAGTCTTGCTCAAGTCAGTCAGGAAGCGGGTTGGCGGGCACCATGGGAGACTCGGAATGGCAAAATGCCCTCACTGAGTTCTACTGTCTGGATCCCACGTGTCATTTTTGTGTGGGATGCTCAAATGGAAGGTTACTTGATGGGAGGCTGGGACACTGAAAAGGGAAGTGGAAGCCTCGGGACTAATATCCATCCACAGCCTCCCTTCTCTACCCTTCCCAGAGCTGGGATCCCTGGAGGTAATTTCTCAGTGCTTTGTTTGCATTGGAGGACAGTGGCTGGGTACCAAAGCTCACTGTCCCAGGAAGTTCTAAATCAATGACAATCAGTTATTAAAGAGGCACCCAGGGGGACCCAGGAGTTGATGAAGTTCTCAAGGTGAGGGAAAGGCCTGTCTGTCTATCCCAGAGTGGGAAGATCTGTGCTGGCTCTGGGCCATCTCCTGAGACCTGAGAAAAGCCAAAAGATCCCAGCCTCAGTGATAGAAAGGTTAGAAGAACCTCTGATCCCCACCATAACTCTAGAAACTGGCTACCTTGCTACTCATTATGATCTAGGCTTACAGATTCATTTGGTTACAAGTTCCTCCCCTGCTACTGGCTTCCCTGAAATCCTGTCTCAATTTTTCCCCCTTTTTCTATTTTCTTTCCTGCTGCCACCCCATGGTACTCCCTTCCTGTCTCAGCTGTCACAGGTAGGTGATGTTGGCACAGCTTATAGGACCTATCATAGTGCCAGCCCCTGGGAACTCCTCAGTAACTTGAAAGGCAAGGAGACCCACTGGCCTGCTTCTCTCTCTTCCTGTTTCTGAAATGAATGCTCCCAGATCCAGCTGAGGTCTTCTAGCCCAGTTTCTTTGGGCCTCAGGGTGCTGGGAAAATGACTGCTACAAGAGATAGAAACTGACAGGGAGACACTGAGGGAGCCAGGCCTGCTGTGGGAAGAGGCATTACTTTGAGGTGGCTGCCCCCAGATGTTTTATCTTCTCTTCTGAAGCTTTGTCTGGAAGCAGGACCTCCACAGTGAAACTGACCTTCTTGGCATGAATGAAGCTGTAGGTGTTGTCAAACCGCAGGACATCTGAGGGGAGGCAGAAAACCAGACATTCAGGCAATTCTGACAAAGGGCTTGGGGACAGTGATTTTGTTCCCTGAGCACAGCAGCGTGGTAGGTAATGAGGATGAAGGCGGCATAAGCAACGATTCTTCACCTTCTGCAACTGACTCTAGTAGGATTGACAAGATGTTTATGGAGACAAAAAAAAAAAAATGACAGAACATGCCAAGTACCAGATGAGTGAGAGAGAGAACCATGTCTGGAATGACACAAAAGGCTTTTTAGAAGAGTTAGAGCTTGAGCTGTGTCTTAAAAAGGAGGATTCGAATTTGTAACAGCAGTAGTTGTTACAATGATACTGGTAATGGTAACAATGGCTATTTATGTGTCTCAGCACTGGGTTGGTAATATATATATGTTATTTCATTGTTCCTCAAAATAACTTTGAGTTCAACATTAGTCCTGTTTTATATCCTATATAAAAGGGGGTCACTGTGTCACACAGAAAGGGAGTGGTAGAGCTGGAATTTCCTTCTAGTCTGCATTGCTGCCTGTCTTGGGCCCTAGAAAGCTTGCACAGTTCAGCTTCTGACAAAAGGTAAATTGTACAAACTTTTTGAACCGGGAATTTATCCCACAGAAATATAAATGAACAAAGATACTCACCGCACACCTGTTTGTAAGACTAAAAGCTTGGGAAAAGTTAAATGTTCAAAGAATTGCTTAAAAAGTTTATATTGCAATTCATAAAAATGAAATATTGTTTCAATATAAAAAAGAAAGGTTAGCATAAGAAGTGACTGGGGAAACTGTCCACAATGTATCCTTAGGCCGAAAAAGTAAATTGCAGAACAATTTGTAAATAGTTTCTAATATTTTTGTCAATATAGGTCTAAAAAAATTTTTTGGCTTTGCTACTTGGTCTACCTACATACCCAGCTTCTCTTTGATGATACCACTTAGGTGCTTGTTCTAAAAGTAACAGTTTCTCAAATCCTGTGACGAGTTTTACAGTTCCAAACTCCTTCGAACATACATTGAATGACAGATATAATTCCTATGAATGTATATGGATGTGTACATGTCCTGGCTATTATGGCAACATGTAATGCTTCTAAAGTGATAGGAAATAAAAATAATAATTAAAAAAATAGACTAGACAAGGGGTGGCTTCCTCTGGGGAGAGAAAATGGGCATGAAGTTGGCAGGGAAGGATCTCCAGCCTTGGCCAAGGAACAGACTACTTTTAATCTAACCTTTCTTTTGTTTTTTGGATTTTGTTTGTTTGTTTTTAATTTTTTTTCTTTTTTTCTTTTTTAGAAGTTGTTCCATTTCAGTCAAACATCCCTTCAAGAGAACAGATTGTGAAAAAAACACTAGCTCTGCCCCTTCCCTCTCCTGGTCTTCTCTCACTTTTTGTATTTAATCCTGAAACAACCTTTCCCCTTTCCTGTCCCTGGATAAAATGCATAGTTTAGACCAAGGGTAGACACACCACCCACCCTTTCTTCATGGTGTGAAGTTAGTATTAGCACTGATTTTCTCACTGTATCAGAGGTCTTTCAAGACCTATAGTCCCTCTGGAAAGAGGGAAGTTTCCTCACTGCTCTGAATGACAGAGCCTTAGCAACCGGCGTCAGTTGTGCTGAGAGTCTTTCAGTCCCTTGGACCAAGCACCAGGATCATGATAGCTCTGTCTAGTATGATATTTTGCCCTCAGAAACAAGGAAGGGGCTGTTCTGACGCCCAAGCCCCGGGGGAGTGGAGTTTATGAACTGCATGGTTCATTTTGATGCCAACCATATATTCACAGTTTCGTAGAGACCCTAGAGATCCTCTAGGCTAGGGCTCCCTAACTTTTGTTGGGGAACTGACCCCCTTGAGAATCTGATGCTTTCATCATCAGATGAAATTTTCAAACAATTTCAGATCCCCTGGAGTCCATCATGGACCCTCTGGGGCAGTGGTTCCCGTGGGAAAGGTGCCATTCTGAAAAGAGGGGGTGTGTGAGCGTAATCGTGCCCTCTCATTTATGTGTTGAAAAAATATATATATTCTAAATAAGCTCCCTTTTATTTCTCCAGATAGGAGATGATATTAAATTTTTAATGATCCGTGTCAGTGGGTTATATTATCTATGAATCTCATTTCAAAATAGTAAAGGGGACATTAGACAGTATTTGTTATAAAAGAGAAGTGTTTTGTGTTTAAGATGTACAATCACTGTTCTGGAGAGTCCATGAACCCCAGATTAAGATCTCATGCTCTAACCCACTCCCCTCATTTTTAAGGAGAAGGAAACCAAAACCTAATTATTTGGAGACGTTTGCTCAGAACACTCGGAGTTAGGGGCAAAGCTGGACTCAGAAACCAGGCCTCTTGGTGTCCAACTGGGCCCTTTTCACCCCAGCACTGCCTGGCACTACTATTTAACCTTCATTGAGTGTTTCAGGTTTTCTAGGTCACATTGTACACTCCTGGCAGACAAAGTCCAGATCTTTTTTTCTGAATCTTTTTCTTTCCTAGTAGAGTATTCTACACTCAGGCCTTCAGGACGGCCTGGGGAGGGTTAATGTACTCTTGCTATTGGAGGCAGTCACTGAGTTTTCACTTCTCCACTGCGTGATTATGTTCTACTTTGCAGGGGGCTGCCTGATTCTCTACAGGCATTGCCCTCCCTCAGATGAGCTTGTAACCTAACACTGGGTTCTCTCTGGGCGCAGGTCTAACCTGAGCCATGTGCCCAGACAACAGCTGATCCCCCTTATTCTCTTTACACCTGAGAAGCTGGCGCAGCCGCTGTGGCCTATCTCTGCTCCTCCTGGGACTAGAAAACAAGCAGCCCCCACTCAAGGCCCCAGCAGGCGGATAAATGCTTTATTTGGGAATGTATCCAAGAGGAACTAAAATAAATTTGGGATTTGCAAACCTAAGCCTGCTTACATTAAAAGCTTCATAGTCCTTCCTCAGGCGGTGTCCTTCAGATACCGTAGAGGAGTAATGGGCAGTGCTGGAGAATGGGTTGGGCTCTGCTACTGGCTACATGATCTTGAGTAAATTACTTTCCTGGCCTGGGACTCGGCTCTCTCCTCTGTCACATCGGAGGTGAACCTGATCATCTCTAGTCTACTGCCAAGAGATCCTGGACCAGGATCCTAGGATTCTCTGGTGTCTTCTGTCTTTTGGTGTCTACACAAGCTATTTTGTGTGAAAGAGAACATCCTTCTCTATACCTCAGCTTCCCTGTCCATTAAAAAAAGGAAATTCAAGCTTTTATGTAGAAAATGCTTTATGCTCTGTGGATGACAGTATCTGGGCTGGTGCTAAGCCTTGTTATTGTTGAAGCACACAGTACACACCTTATCCCCCAGCACCCGGCTGTTCGCTAACAAGAATACTTCTCCTTTCTGGGGAGCCATACCTCAGAGCATCTGTGAGGAGGGGGTGGTAGTGACTGAAGGTTGCCTGGGATGTGGGGTTGGGGTAATGGTGTGGACAAGTACCGAGGCTAGTTTAAATCTCCTGGAGGTACTACTGTAGAAATGGGACACAGGGCTGGCCTTCTCTCCAGTACTATCTCCAAGATGGCCCTTCTCCCCCAGGTCTTGCCCTAATAATAATGGTGGCTACAGTGTGTTAAGTGCTTGCTGTATGCTAGGCATTATGCTAAGCGCTGCGCAGACCTTATCATATTTAATTATCGTGTATCCCTATGAGGTAGAGAATTCGATCCCCATTGTAGCAATCAGGAAGCTGAAGCTCAGGTAGGCTAAGTCACTTGCTTCAGGACTAGTCAGTAGTCAGGTCCAACTCAACTTGATAATAAAGCCCTTGCTCTCGTTGATTTTCCACACCTGGCCCCTTAGCCCTTACAGGAAAAAAAACCTGGAGATTTGGTGAGACTTGTGTGTGTGTATGTGGTTTTTCTGCTTATAAATATAGTATGTGGTCATTGCAAAATAAATTGTATTTGCAGAACTACAGTAAGTACTCAACATCATCAATAGGTTCTGCGACTTTAAGCAAAACGACACATAATGAAACCAGTTTTACCATAGATTAATTGATATAAACAAGAGTTAAGTTCCTACAGCATATTTCTGGTCATAAAAACATCACCGAACTCCTAAATAAAGACCCATACATTTCTAATATTAAACATTGAAATAAAAGTGAGCAATACATACACTTAAGAAGGATTAATAAAAACAAGTAAGATAGTGATTTTCCAACCTGCTTATCCCAGGTCAGGGTTGTAGGTGGCCAGAACCTCTCCCAGCAGCTCAGCGTGCAAGGCGGGAACCCACCCTGGACAGGACGCCATTCCATCAAAGGGCACACTCACTCACACGCACACACACACACACACATTCATACTGGGACGATGTAGACATGCCAGTTTACCTCACATGCGCATCTCTGGAATGTGGGAGGAAACTATAGTACCTGGACAAAACCCATGTGGACATGGGGAGAGTGTGCAAACCCGACACTGACAGTGGCCCTGGCCAGATGTCAATTATTTTTTCTCATCAACATAATGAAACAACATTGAACAAAATAAGGTTATTCAAGGACCTGCTGTAGTATAAAAACTGAAAGCCCTCTCTATAAGCTCCTTACTATCACAGAGATAACCACCATTAGAGTTAGCATAGATTTCCCAGAATACTTTTCTATATACACACTTTATTAACCAAAGTGAGTGTATACCACATGTACTATGTTTCATACTTTATTTTTTTAACAAGTATCAGACATCTTAAATGTCAGCTTATTCTCTTTAGTGGATATAGTGTACTCCATTGAATGGATGGACCATAATTTACTTAACAAGACCTTATTAAGGCCATTTAGTTTATTGCCAGTTTCCAGGCTGCTAGAAACATTCTAGTACCTTTATCTTTGTGTCTCTGTGTAAATATTTCTGTAGGCTAAATTTCCATAAGTAGAATTGCTGTGTCAACAGGAATTTTAATCGATATTGCAAAGTGGAGTGAGGTCAAAAACCTTTTCAAATGCCTATTTGCCATTCTTATTTAACCCTCTCTCGGGTTAAATTTCCTGTTCACATTCTATGCCCATTTTTTGATCACCCTGGAGATGAGTGAAGCTCAGGAGTCAAGGCTGGGCTTTTCAGGACCCTGCTCAGGCTATGATCTCTACATCCACCCAGACAGTTCTGCCTCTCTGATATGTGGGGAAGAATTCCCAAGAGATGTCTGGTCACAGTTATCTGGGTCACAGACTCAGTTAGATCTAGACCAGAGAGCAAACATTTGACCTCTAACACTGTGACTCATCTCTGCCTAGTTGGATCAGGTCAGAGTCCCACCCTGACCTGATCAGCTGGCTCACCTTGAGCAAGTCATCTCACTTCCCCAAGCCTAAGTTTCTGCACTTGTTCAAGGAGAAGGTTGCACTGATAGAGCTCCACTTCTAGTCCTAACAGGCTGGAGAAAGAGGGACCTCACCGGCAGACAGCTAGGGCAGGGGCTTCAAGCCAAGACAGATACTTACAGATGCCAGGATCATTGCAGGTGAGGGTCCCATCCTCAGGCACCAGGTGAGCATTGTACCTCTGGTTGGGCAGTACCTCTGTCATCTCTCCTGCCTTCTGCCGTTCTCCCATCTTGGTCTTCAGAAAAATCCCAAAACCGATGTCTGAGCCATCTGACATGAACTGCCACCTACAGGAGACATCCATCCATGCAGAAATGATTCCAGCTGTATATGTTCTCTCTAGGGTTCAGCTACCAGGGCTTCTCCCCTCCCAGCCCAACCACTGGCACCTGTGGCTAAAAGGCTCAGGGCTCCTGGAAGGCTTCAGAACCCTACCTGAGGACACAGCCGGGGAAGAGGATCTCATACTCCACTTGGTGGGAGGAGCCACGGGAAATCTGCACAGTGTGCTCATACTGCTGCTTCACCTGGTCTCGCACATAGTACTTCTTGGGGATATCACCCCCGTAATTGATCTAGAAGCAAAGCATGAAATGAGCTGGAATGTGCATTGGAACCAGGCTTCCTTGATCTCCTCCAGCCCCCGGTGGCCCATACCTTGGATGTGCACTTGGGGTTTCCATCAGGGTCAGTCATGGTGCCCCCATACTCCGCAGGCAACTGGTCAGGACTGATATATTTCAGTAAAACCTCCTTCCAGTTTGCTGGCAGGAGAGGTAAGGAAGGAGAAAGAAGGGTCACCACCAGGCAAGATTTCATCACAGCCCTGGCAGTCGAGACAAAAGCAGCAGAAATCAACTCTACCCACCTCTGCACACAAAACGGGCATGAGGAGCATTTGATGTGTGCCTAGCACTGCAAGGGGCTCAGGAGGAGCCATCACCCAGAGAATTGCCCTGCCCTGGGCCAGAATTCAGGAACCTAGGATCCTGTCCCCACTGCCTCTGGCCAGCTGAGTGACCTTAGGCAAACCACTTCATTCTGAGCCTAGATCCTCCTGCCCTGCCAGATTATGGTGGGAGTGAGATGACTCAAGTACTTGAGATGGTGTTGGAAACTGTAAAGTGCCTACACGTCTTAAGAAATGTACCATCACTCCCAGGAAGGTAATACAAACATTTGAAGTACAAGCAGGAGGAAACAAAGAAGGGAAGGATATTCTGTGCAAAGGGAACAACACGTGCAGCAGGTGGGAGGGCTAGAATCAAGATCTGTCTTGGTTAGGCGACTCTGTGCTCAATGGCGACTTAATGAAGGCACCACTATTTAAGAGTAACCCCATAAATGGGTTCCCTTTGCTTTACCCCAACCATGATTTCATTTCCGTCTCTCTTTTTTAGGCTGTTTAGCTGCCAGCGATTTGCTATTTTTTTGTTTTATAACCAAGCCCTTTCTTGACCAGGAGAGTTTGACTCTAGTGCCACCGATGCTGTGAACCGCTTCTCCATCATTCCAAATTCCTCAACAAATATCAGCCAATTACAATATTTTGATACTGGAAACCTTTCCATGCTGATTCTGGAAACCATCTATAGGCAGAAGCTCCAAATCATGGGGTAGAGTTGAGTGTCCGCTGCCACTGGTACTGGCTGGAAACCCACAAAGACTTTCCAGGGTTTCCCAGCCCTCAGATTTCAGGGACCTGAGACCATGCGACTCCTGGAATGCAACATCTGTGGTCTTGGGTGATTTAATCTGTGCTGCTAAGCTCCAGCAACCAGCCCCGAGTGAATTTATTCCCTCCTCTGTTGAAGATCCTGTACCTTCTCAGCCTAAGGCGAGTTTGGTTGAAAGAATTTCAGGTGTGGGTGGGAGAACAGACCAAACCTCCTCCACAACTCTGCTGCCAAGCAACCTAATTGCCTCACGATCACGGTGGGTGGTATCAGCAGAGAAGCTAAAACCATCAGAGCCTTGCTCGGATTTTGTATTTCTTCCCCTTGCTCAGCCGGAGAGTTTGAATAAGGCCAGGTGGATTCCTCCCATCTTACAGAGAGAGTCACTGAGGCAACAAGCAGCAGAATTTGTTGTGCCAGAGCTGGGATGAGAACCCAGAAGTCCTAGACTTTGCAGATTGCCTCACTCCAGTTTTAAAACTCACCAGCACACATTTGGAAAATCTCCACTTTCCATGTGTTGCCTAAAGGTGAACAATCAGAATCCATCAGAATCCCTATTACCTACCCCCAAGTTCAACTGCAGAGGTGGCCTCAAGCCTTCTGTGATTTACCTAGTCCCAACCTACCTTTCTAGCCTTTCCCCTTACCACTCCACTTAATGCTCCAACAAAACTGACTCCTGTCTGTCCCTGGCTGGCTTGATTCCTGGCATCTTGCTCGATGGCCTCCCTTGTGCCTTGCTGTTCTCCCCACTCCCTTGCATACCCAATCCCTGCCCACCTGCTTCTCTGCCAGCCTTCTCAATCACTTCTCAGTCTCCCTGGTGGGCTCCGCCTCCTCTGTCTGCCTTAGAGCTTGGATATTCCCCAGGGCTCAGCCTCTGTTCTTTTGTGGGCAGTCTTATCTACGCTCAAGGTCTTAGCTGCTGCCTATATTTGATAACTCCCAAATCTCCAGGCTGGAGTTCTCACCTAAGCTTCAGGCTCAAGTATCCCCAACATCTGTATAGCTCCCACTCCTCAACTTCAAGCTTATTCTTCTACTCGTATTCCTCAGTTGAACTAATTGCATCAGAGTGACTGCAATACTCAGTGATTCATGCTAGATTATGGAGTCATTCGAGATTTATCTTCCTCCCCTCCTATATCCAGTCAATTGAGTTCCGCTGTTCTACTCCCTAAATAGTCCTAAATCCATCCTCTCCTCTCTATCCCTACTGCTGCTGCCTTGGCTCAAGCTTGTAAAACCTGTTGCATGGACTATGGTCACAGTGGACAAATTGGTATCTGTCTTTCATGATCTTGCCAAGGTGTGTCTCAATTTAAAATCTGATCCTTGTACTCCCCTGCTCAGAACTCTCCTCTGGTTCCCAGTGGCCTATAGAGTCATGTCTCAGTTTCTCAGCATAGTGCCCTGGGTTCTCTGTGATCTGCTCCTGGCTCCCTCTCCATCTTGCCAACTGCCTGTGCCATAGTGTATAAGGTCTTTGCTCAATGCTGTTCCAGGAAGCAAGCTTCCTGTCTCGTTTCATCTAGTTGCCTCTTACTCATTCCATTGCACTTGGCTTAGGTAGGCATCACCTCCTCCCTAGGTCAAATGGGGTTCGTGTCTCCCCCAAGAGGCTGAGAGCTCTTCAAGAGTCTCTTATCTAATTCACCTGTAGCCTCGGCACCTAGTCCAGGGCCTGACACAGAGTAGGTACTCATCAAGTGAAGTCGCTCCTACTTGCCCTCAACTGAAAGGAACCTCTACTCTTGTGACCCCATGGCATCTTCTCTAGGCCATTCCTAGTACCTTTTCTAGTTTTCATTAGAGCTTCCTCTCTATAGTGCTGAGCTCAGTACTTTCTTCAAGAATATCTGAGAGAAAGAGTTCTTATGGAAACAGACAGGAAGACCCTAGCCCAGCCCCAGCTTGCTCCTGGGTCCCACCGCTACCAAACCAGTGGAGGGAACCTTTGCCCTGGTAGCTGTGGCCACACCTCTAAAGCCATCTCAACTTGGACTACAGACCATCCTGTGGAGTTGAGAAGAGTCTGGGCTACTCACCCCCTAGGACCATGATCTTCTTACGCGTATCCTCACTCAGGAAGGGTTTGACCAGGTTATATGCCACAGGAAACAGTTTAGGGGCTGGAACAGAGATCAGATGATGTGAGACTGGGAGCAGTGCCCACTCTGTCCCTAACAGTGTCATCTACAGGCCCCTGTGTCAGGCCATACATTCCCTAGTGCTGTGGAGCCCACACAGGTAGCCTAGGGTGTGAGGCTCAGCATGGGTATCTCTTCGAGTTCTGGTTTCCCCATCTGTATAATGGGTATAGTGAAATGGGTATAGTCTTCCTGTCTCACTGGGCTGGGTAGCTCGAAGGTAGTAATAGATTCTAGAAGCTCTGTGAATTGTAAAGCAGTCTACATCAAAGGTTCTCAGATCCCTTCCTTTGGCTCACTTCATTTTACTCTCCCAACTCTCTCCCAGTAACATTTTTGGCCCCTCTTTCCCATTTGGCTTCCTCACAGGAAGTTCTCAACTTACCTTTAATAACTAAAAGACGCTTCAGTGTTTCAGGATAATTATCTTCAACCATGCAGAGAAACTGTGGGAAAAAAGCATTGAGAATAGTGGGCTCAGAACTCTGTGCCAGGGTGAGAGGCCCTGCCTCCTCCCGGCTGGACTCTGTCCCCATCGCATCACCCATCCCGTAGGACATCCTTGCAGAGGGGCCCAACTCTCCCCTTCTCTGCCTTCCCCAGTCCTGCCTCTCACCTCTCCATAGACCTCCACAGCAGGCTTCCAGAGATGCTTGAGACCAAGCCCCTCACAGTCATAAATCAGGGTTATGTTCTCTACCTTCTTCCCCATCTGCAGGGGACAGAGGAGCAGAAAGTCACAGCAGGCTGCCCACTCAGTTCAGGGCAAATGTTGATTGCATCATGTGCCCATATTGCAACCAGATCTGGGCAGGGCAGTACCTAGGGTTTTCCAAAGGGAGATAATTACCCCAGGCTGGAACTGTGGCCCAGACAAGTCACCCTTCCTGCCTAGGGCTCCATGTTCTCATCTAGTACCATTGGGTGGGTCTAGATTACATCTGAGGTCTCTTCTGCAGTTTGACCTGGAGGCCTCCCTCTTCCTCCGTGTGTAGCACCGTGTAGTGCTCTGTCCACAGGGCCTTGTGCAGCCATTTATATAGTGCTCAGGCACAGATGCTCTGTGCAGCCTAAGGGTGCATTCCTGTCTAACACTTCTTTGCCTCCTTGGCCTGTAAGGTCTCTGTAGACACTAGGCTCTCAGTGAATGTTTGTGGATGACAGTGTTGAAATGGTCCCGAACTTATCACATCATTTCATTGGATGTTTACATCTGATGAAGGGGAAGGAAGGAGAAAAGATTATGGTAGCAGCTCCAACATGCTCTTCAAGCTTTTTCAGAGTAAGGAAATCAACTGTCCTTTCTTTGTTTAAAAATACAGATTTAGAGAAACACAGAATCTGAGCTCATCCACACCAGTGATACCCAAATACTTGTCAGAATAGGGTGGTCCATGACAAAGATCTCACCAGTGCCCAGATAAATGAGAAAAATAGCAATAATATAGTGAGTTCTTTATGAAGCTAAATGTATTCCATTTAAAGGATTGACCTTTATTCTGAGATTTTGCCATTTCTACAGTTTTGGAGGTTAATTATGGTAATAAGTAGCTGGCAAATTTTTGTCCTTACTTAGAAAACTAAAAATTTGGCAACATATGTCAGTCCCTAAAACTTTGAAATTTCACTAGTCTATGAAATTCAGACGTCTGGGCCTCAGCCCTGAAGCTGTGTTTTTCAGTCCCTTTATGACATCCTTTCTTTCGCTCGAACACCTCTACCGTGATTAACTCAGTCCACTCGCCTTTTCGGACTGGCGGTTACACTCTTGCCGAAGCAGTTCGCAGTCCCGCATCTTGGTCTTCAGCAAGTCCTGTTTGGTGGCTGAGAGGAGCAGACCCCTGGCATCCAGAGGTCCAATGATGTCGTACCAGATGGGAGAGCCTTCCATGTCGTAGCCACACATGCCCCCTGAAAGATACAGTTGGACCACCTGGGCAAAGACACAGAGAAGGTACCTAGTCAGCAGGCCCAGGGCAGCCATACTCTCCCTGTATCCTGGGGCCTTCTTCTGGGCTTATCGGTTTCTCCCTCCACAGCCTTCCCCTGGGTGCCAATGGAAACCCCTCCTGGGAACCATTAGGGCCCACTTGGTATTGTCAAACCTTCCCTCTAAGGGTCCCAGTCCCATGGACCCAGGACACAGATTGTGAGATCGTGGGTCTAATAACCTAACAGAAAAGTGGGCAAGGATCATCCGTCCTCACCTCTGGAGGCTGCCAGCTTATGACGTTGTCAGTGTCCTTTTGCTTTCGGAACTCCACATGCTGCAAACACACAATCGGGGCTTTAAAAAAGTGAGGGTGGAGAAGGGAGGACCCCTTAATAGGCATCTAGCAATAGGTGACAGCATGAACAGACCACCAGATCACAGGTGAGTCATGAGAAGGCATAATGCAAAAGAAGGCACTGCTTATTTTAGAGGTCTCAGCAGGACACTGTAATCCTCGGCTGGCTTAGACCTTTGAAAGCTCTGTGTGTCCAGGAAAGAGAATGAATGTACTTTGTCCAGAAGAATAAGGCAGTAATGGTCAGTTAATGCTCAGATATGTCACACGTGGCACTGCTTATTTTAGAGGTCTCAGCAGGACACAGTAATCCTCGGCTGGCTTAGACCTATGAAAGCTCTGTGTGTCCAGGAAAGAGAATGAACGTACTTTGTCCAGAAGAATAAGGCAGTAATGGTCGGTTAATGCTCAGATATGTCACACAAGCTACAGGCCATCATGGGAGTGGGTGGGGTGGGCAAAAAATGTTCAAGCACAGTGTGATTCTGACGGGCAGGAATGGTGGCATCCATGGGACTTGGAAGCAGATGGACCTCACCTTCCGGAGCATGGCCTCGGACTTCTGCAGGTCGAAGCTTCTTGCTGTAAAAAGGGATACGTGGTCAGGGTTAGGCCAGCAGACTGGGTGTCCAGGGACAAGATTTCCCTATCCCCATACCAGGGCCAGCTCCTCTCTGTCAATGTCCCGGCTGACTCCCACATCACTCCACATGTAGAAGCTAGTATGAGGACCTTCACTGAGGGCTTCTGGAGTACCACAACCCCTGAAAAGCAGGTCAAAGTGAAGGGCAGGTGGGGGCAGTATCACAACTTCAGGGTCAAAAGAGTTTTGACCTAGTGGATACAATCGGGTGAAAGGTCTTATTTCCTATCAGGGAAAGGGAACACTGGACTCCCTTATCATTTCCCCTTTCCCGTACACAAAGTGAATAATCTCACAGTCTAACATCCCAAACTGAAAACTTGACCCACAGTTCAAAGATGAACATAGCTGCCCCACAATCTAAGGCCAAGCTGGCAGAAAATCCCAGTAGGATGGAGGGGTTGATGAGCTTCCAGTCAATTTTGTCATGTCCTCAAAGGACTCACAAATACCCCTATGGGACACAGAGGGCCCTCCCTCCTCCAAGGGTGTCTGGAAAGTGTCAGAATCGAAGTTCATCTGGGCCAACTCTATGTTATGTGTGAGCTCCAACAAGTTGTCCTGCTCAAGTTGAACACAAAGATCTCACTGCCCCGCAAAGCCATCTGTTCCTAGATCGTTTGAGTTGCCATTTGCACCCAGTCATTGTTATACTGTTATACAGAGACACTTAGAGAGTGTGGTCACTTCCTCACCACATGACAAACTTCCCAATACTTAGAAATTCTGTGCTGCCACTTGGGTTTCCCTCTGCTATTATGCTGCCCATCTGTGGACTTTTTCACCATTTCTCAAAGTGTGGTTTCAAGTTCACCCAAATAACTTCCCTTTGGGTGTTTTCCAGTTTGCCATTATCCCTCTTTAAATGTGTTGTCCAGAGCCGAGCACAGTACCAGGTGTTGTCTACCCTTCTCCAATAAAGCCTAAGAACTTTCTTGGCAATGGTCATGCCCTTAACTCAGGTGGAACTTACAGTCAACTGAAACTCCTAAATCCTTTTCAGCTATACTGCTGCTAAGCCTCCATCCCATACATTGTGAGGTGGTTTTCTGGCTTCATCCCTGTCAGATTTCATCTTGTTACACTCAGCTTCATTTCATCCTTTAAAGAGATTTTAAGATCCAGATTCCGATCAATTTTGCCATCTGACCTATGAGCATTGCCTCCCAGCTCTATGTCCTCTGTGGATTTGACTGACATCAATATCTGCTTGACAGTCCTGAAACCTGGACCAGATAAGCTGTCCTCTGGACTGTCACCAGTCCCTTAATCATTGCTCCCCAGGAGTGGCCAAGCACATCCCCCGACTCTGCTCTCATGAAATCCAGTCTACTCGTGATATTTTCAAAGGGTGCATTGAGAGGTTTGACCAGTGCCGCACCAGTCACTAGAGCTGGACACGCATTTGCAGAACTGAACAGCCTTCGCTCTTGGGAAGTTCCTCCTGACTGCCCTTTATGTGCCATCATGGCAGCAGGCGGCAGCTTTTAGAGGAATGTAATCTCGGTTTGCATCTCTGCACTTCCGCCTCCCTGTTTGACCTTAGATAAGATACTCCACATCTCTGTTCAAATTATCTAATGAGCTAGAAACGCTTGGAAGATGCAAGGCAACATGCTATCATGATGGGAGTGCCTGGCTGGATTGTGAAAGTGGGGCTCCTCCATAGGAGGGACATCCCTAACTATGAGGAGAGACCTTATCTTCCCAGGGAATAGGAGTGATGGTGAACCGTGAGCCCCTTTATCTCGGGGTGGTTCTCCAGTTAATTCTTATCTGCCAGAGTCCAACATCCAGGGTCTTCTTCAAGGGCCCTCCCTGAGTTGCCACTTGTCCCTGGCAGCACCTGGCCTGGTCCCTTCCCAGAGCTCAGCCGAAGTCAGGAGGAGGCAGTGGAGATTTGTGAGCCGCTCTCAAGACCTGGGACCAGCAGAAAACTGAGCCCACCCGGGGGGAAAGAGGAAAGAGTAGAACCCCAGCTCACACCTAGTTTAGAAAAGGACGTTCTGCTGGCATGCCCCTTGCAGATGTTTCCTTTAGAATCAAAGAAAGAAAGAGAAAATGTTTCTTACAAAAAAGAAGACAACAGAAACCCTAATTCAAATTCATAGTAGAGTCTGACCAAGCCTGAGCTTCTACCCAGGAAATGTGAGGCACAAATAAAGTGCAGAGGACACACTTCCTCTGTTTGAAGAGGCACAGCTTGGTGTCACGAAGTAGCTGTGGCTTACTGGAGAAGATGCTGGTTGGGGAATCTGTGGCCCTAGGTTTCTGCCCTGGCTCTGTTTCACATTATCTATGTGCCTTCAGGGAAGTGCCCTCCCCTCTCTGAGCCTCAGTTTTCTCATCTGGCAAATGGGGATGACCACTCTCTTCAGTATCCCTGCAAAGAGATGGGTTATCCCAGGACTGGGGAGTTAGGGGTGCCTGGGAAACCAGCTGCAAGGCCCCAAGCTGGCCTCCTCTTAGATAAAAGAGAGCTGTATTGTTGTTCACAGCTCTCTGAAACCACACTTCTCCACCTAGCAGCAGTTCAGTAGTTTGTTTGATGATCTTACAGCTGGCCCTTTAAGGCAGCACTGGCTTCCCACTCTCTCCGCCCACCCAGTTCTAGCTACAGCATTTCAGCAAACTGCTGGGCCAAAATAGCCCTGGACTGACTCCACTGCCACCCCCACACTGCCCCTCCACCCTCTCTGCGTGGGCTGGGGGCATGGGTTTGCAGCTTTTGGGGGGAAAATGGCAAGTGGCACTTCCAGAGGCACACAGAGCCCTATGTGTCTATCCTGGCTGCGCCTGCCCTGGAGTGCCTGCTAGTAGTCTCTCAGAGCATGCCAGCTGTATTCAACTTCAGCACAGAAAGGGAAAATCCAGCTCTTCACCTGTCCCAAGACTCCTAGTGTGTGTGTGTGGTGTCTATAAATAATCAGGTAACTTTTAATTTTCGAACTCTGATTCCATATCACAACTTAATCTAAGCTAATCTAAGAAAGCGGAATTTATTCTCTATTATGTCTATGTCTGGTAATAAAGTTTCTATAAAGAAAAAAAATGTGTGTCACAAGAATCAGAGAGGGTGGCACGTGACTTGAATCACAGGAGAGGAGAATAGGGAAAAGAATAGAAAGATTTCAGGAGTTGGGCACGGGGTGGAGTTTGACCCTGATTCCAATATAAACATGTACATTGCCTCACCGTACCTAGAGCTCTGTTCTGTCATATCTTGCAATAAGCAGGGTACCCTGTCTCGTCCCACTCTCCCAGAGCGCAGATGTTTGTCCCTGGCCCAAGTACCACAGCCAGGCTGGGGCAGAGTTAGAACCAGAACTTGGGGCTCTGGAGTCTGGTGGTGGCTCGAGGGGAGTCTTGTCAACATAGTTTAGGCCGAGCCCTCCACGTTTCCCCTATACTCTACCCCTCCTTCAAGCTGCCTAAATGGCTGGCAGCAGGTGACCTGCCATCCAACAGGCCACAGAGGACCCAGCCTCTCCCAGGAGCCAAGACTTTGGTTCCAAACTTGACTGTGCCTCCGACGTCCCACATGGCTGGGGCTTTTCTTGGCTTTTCCCCAATCTGTTTCCCCAAGTCCATCAGCAGAACAGAAAGGAAAGGCACTGGATTCTAGTCCTCTCTCTGCCTGCAGCTCGAGCACTTGTGTAACTTGGGGCAAGTTACTTCACCTCTCTGAGCCTCAGTGTCATCTATCCAGTAGGAGGGTTGAGGTTATGTAATTGCCAATGGCCCTTTTAGTTCTAAACGTTAAATGTTTCAGATTCTCAGGTTGCCAGGGCCAGGGTTCCCAGAGGGTACCATTCCATTACCTAGAACAAGCCCCTGTCCCAGCATCCCCCAGGCCCTCTTCCCTCACCTCGGAGCCAGCGCAGGAGAAAATAGTCATCTGGATTCGGCAGAGTGGGCAGCACATCCTGGACATTCTCCCGAAACTGTAGAGAAAGGCAGCTAGGTGAGTGACAGGTCTCACCCTGACCACCCTCTGCCCAGGATTCTCCATAAGGACTTTGCTGGACCCCTTTACAACACGGGCTGAGCACTTGGGCTACATGGGGCGCTCTGTCTGTCATGCTGGTGGAAGCCAAGTAGCAGAAGGAGGTGGGGAGGGAGTAAGGCACTGCCTTGCCTGGCTGTGTGCACTCTCTAATGTGGCTGGCGGGCAGACATATTCTCAGCTAACCGTGATAGTAGACATTTGAAACATCCCATGGTAAAAGCTGTCAGTTTACCAACATTCTCCATGTGCCCAGCACTGAACTTGGCACTTCTCTTATTCCTGCCTCATTTAGAGTCTCTAGAGGTATTACTGTCCCCATTTTACAGATGAAGAAATTGGAGCTCAGGGAGGCTAAGTAACATGACCAAGATCAAACAGCTAATAATCAGCAGAGCTGAGATGTAAACCTGGGTCTGTCCAAGGCCAGAGCATACACTCTTTTGTAGTCTTCTGCCCCCTTAGTAATGGAATGCTGAGCAATGTGCTTGGCAGAGCGGAGGGAAGGAAGGGTTCGATTCTGACTGGGGCCAAGAAGAGGGCGATCTCATATGACTTCATTTTCAAAAATGGCATTTAAGCTGGGCTTGAACGACATCAAAGGCAGTGAAAGGAGGCAGGAGGGCTATCCAGGTGGAGGGAACAGTTCCAGCAGGAAGCCATGAAGGGGGAAAATGCAGGGAGTGCTGAACAAGAAAGGTTGGACAAGTGACCCCAGGACAGCCACACCTACTTCCAACTGTTCACTACTGTAAGTGAGCACACCCACCGCCCGTGCCCTCCCCACGCCTCCTTCTCCCAGCCACTCATCTTTCCCTAGTCACCGACATACAGGGCAGCCTCAGAGGGGACCAGTGAGGACCAGCCACCTCTGCCCTTTGCCTAGGTCAGCCAGGGACTCAGACCATCTCACCCCCCAAACAGTTCCCAGACCCCCAGGTACACTGCTCATCCAGGGCCCAGGCATGAAGCCGCTCCTTCCCAAGGACCCTAACCAGCCCCTGGTTTCCAGTTTAATCACTGCCTAATCCCTCCCTGCCTGACTTCCCCTGCAGGTCAGCAGTAAAATCTGAAACCTCCCTATCCAGCCTCCCTGGGGCGGGGGAGGCCCAGCCTGGGCAAAGCCTTCATGGGGCTGGTTCCTCAGCGTCTCTGCCACAGCAGAGGCCATCTCTCCCCCTACCCTTTTCCAGCAATGAAAAACTGCCCGGCTGTGGAGCCTCCAAACCTTGAGACTGGACCCAATCGGTTCTGGCTCCTAGAACAGCCAACCTTCCCTCTCCCCAAGGGTGACAGAGAAGAAGAGATTTAGGTAGCAGAGAGAGGGTCCCGTCCTAGAACTGTTACCCCCTCTTCTGCCCAGGTGCCAAAGCAAAGCCACGC